AAATTGAAAAGAAAAAGGTTTTGGTCTAAAGTTACTAAGTTGAAAGCAAGTAAAGGCCACTGGTAATGGAAATAGAAATTGTTATATAACTACTTTGGAACACAGTTTAACATTATTTTTTAATGCCGAATATGATATTGGACCTGTAATTCTTTCCTAGATCCATATCCAGAGAAATGTTTGCACATGGGTCCCAGGGAGAAGGAAGGGGATGTTCAGAGCAGCATTGTCTGTCAGTACAAAGTGGAAATAACCCAATGTCCAATAACCCAATAGGATAATGGCTAAGTGAATAATGGTATAGTCACACAATAGAATATTATATGGCAGCAAAAATGAATAAAATGCAGTTATGCATAATTTTTTCATGGAAAAAAATGCAAGGTTCAGAAGTCTACTTATTGAGTAATATTTTTATAAATCTAAAAGATTAAGTACTGTGTAGGGATACATTCATTTGTATTTAAGATATATTTTTTAAAGTAGGGAATGATATATGTAAAATTAAGGATGGGGAACTGGAGGATGGATAAGAAGTACAGAGGTATTTATAATATTGCAATTCTATTTTTCTTTTTTTTAATGTGCATTGTAGATCTCAAAGAGGGCTATCCAGCAGGGAGGGTTTACCAGACTTAGTTTATTACTTTATTTTATTTCAAAGCTTCTCCAGGGAAGATGCTGCCTCTCACTGATGATGGCAGATCAAGGAGTGTAGGTTAATACTTATGATGCTGGGTCTCAGCTGGCTGGACCCAAGGTGTGCGGTCAACAGGATACAACTGAAAAGGCATAAAAATGTTGCACATTTAAAAAAATTGAAGTATAGTTGTATACAATCGTATGTAGGTTTCAAATGTACAACACAGTGGTTCAACAGTTACCCTAGTATTAAATTGTCATCCTCTCTAGTGCGGTTACTATCTATTAATGTAGAAAGATGTTACAGAATCATTGACTATATTCTCCATGCTGTATTACCACCCCCATGATCTACTCATATTGTGATTGTGAATCATTGTGTTGCACATGGTTTTAAGTATCAGCAGAACAAGTGTAAGAATGAGGATTAGTGATTTTTTGCAAATGGAAAATATTCATGGTTTTATATGAATGCAAGTTCAATATGCTAACAAGCTCCCTTGGCAATATTCTAGTTCTTATGTTGAGGGATAGGTACACAATGTTCATTTTATTACTAGATTTCATACCTTACATATAGGTTACAGAAATTCTATTGGATGTATTGAATAATATGTTAAGTTTTAAAACAGTGATATCTACTGTTTTTGTAGGTTGTGTTTCAAAATAGCAATGTAGAAAAGCTCAGAAAACCCTTAAAATTTTAGAATTGGAAGAGGCCTTCAAGATAGTGGTCTAATCTGAAATGTAATCATTAAAAAATTTTAAGTACTAGGGAATAGTTATAGTTTTGGAAGTTGGTGAGGACTCTCTAAACATAAAATCAATGAAAAATGTCATGAAAGAAAAAATTGAGAGATTTTATTTACTTAAAATTTAAAAATGGTAAACAAAAGTCATCGTAAATGAAATTAAAAGACAAATGATAAACTGGGATAAAAATATGCCATGAATATGACAGCCTAGGGATTACTATCCTTAACATGTGAAAAACACATGTAAATCAATAAGAAAAGTTCTAAACCAAAATTGAAAAATGGTAATAGGTATGAACAGATAATTCATACATAAAGAAATGTAAATGACCAGTAAAACCTTGGGAAAAAAATTTTCCTAGTAATTCAAAAGGAAAGAAAAACTAATTGTTTAAAGAGAGATACCACTTTTCATTAATCAAAATAGGAAAGATTAAAAAAAATTTGTATTATAGCATTTGATCTTGACAAAGGTGTGTTAAATAAGCCCCCATTCCTCTATTAGCAGATAAATGATACAACATGTGAGGTAACAAGTTTGGCCTTCTGTTGCAATAGTCTTAGGTTATATTCTTTGACCCAGTAATCTCACTTACTGGAGCATTGGAATATATCCTAAACAATTACCAGGAAGGTGGCTAAAAAGTTTTGTATAGGACTGTTTTTTTCAGCATTATGAAAACAGCCACTTGGGGGGCGGAGAATCTAACAACAGAAGGATGGCTAAATAAATCATCACTCAAATGTCGAATATTTTATAGCTGTCAAAAATCATGATATTCAAGATGTTGATTCTTATCACCTCTGGATTTCTTCTCCAGGACTTACCAGAAAACCCAGAGATAGAGTTCTCAGTTTGAGCTTGTCTGACCTGGAGTTATTCCAGGGACCATCTATAAGCACTTCCCTGGAGGTCAGACATGCTTCCTCTCCCCAAATGCTTAGTCTTTACATTTATTTCCTTGTCTTTGGCAGGAGTATTCTAATGGACACCTTGTGTCAGTCAGGGTCCCACCACAGAACAATGAATTTACGATTCCCCAAACAAACGGGAAAGACTCCAGTCCTTTCTTGAAATTGCTGTACTGAAAGTGAAGACGTTCGGGTCGGGTCCAGACGGCCGGGTTAAGGCTCCATCCATCCTTAGGGTAGCAATGGAAATCTACCAGGGCCCCTGGAGAAGGAAGAGTAGGGTTAATAAATCCGGATGTCAGTTACTCTGGTAATGACGAAAGGGGTAAGAGAGGAAAGAAATCCACCCTGTAGGCATTTTAAACCCATACTCTGCTGCTCCTTCACCAAACACCGTACCAGGAGTAGCGCACTTTGGCCACTATTTCCGATCAGCAAACCTTCAATCACCTCTGCAAAGTTCCCCGAATAAAGGCCGACAGGCCCCTGCCGGCGCGGAGGCTCCAGCCTGCAGGCGAAGGCGGACTCCTGGTCCAGTCCATCACCTGGCGGGCAGTGCTGCCGAGGGGCGTGTGTACGAGAGCCTCACCTGGCCTGCGGAGGGCGGCGGGGGGCGCCTGGCCTCCCCGAGGAGGTGACGTTTTGACGTTTAGGGCAGGACCCGAAGGACAGGTAGGGGAGGCCACCGGGGCAGTCTTCTGGGCAGCCCGGGGAAGGGGGCGGCAAGGAGGACGCCCCGACGGGCGGAGGTCCCGGGTGGGGCGGCACGGGGCGCGGCCAGGGTTTGGGGTTGGCCGCGGCCCGGGGCCCCACCGAGGGGTATCCTGACCGGGCCTTTCCCACCGGGCCTTTCCCACGCCCCTGCGGCCACCTGCTCTGTCCTTGGCGGCGACAGCCCCTCCCCTCGTGGGTGCATTTCGCCCTGGTCGACCACCCCGCTGGCCCGGCGCGGCGCGGGGCGTAGGTGCGGGCCGGGAGGCCGGGAGGCCGGGAGCGCTGCTGCGGGGTCCTGGGTACGCCTGGGACCGATTCCCTGGCTCCGTTTTGCCAGGTAAAGTGCCAGGGCTGCGGCTCTGGGGCACGGGCGCACGTTGGTTGGTGGGTTCCCCAAGAAAAGACCATATTCTCGGCTCGCGTTTCCGGCCTGTGATCCTGCTGTTTACCCCCCTAGGGGGAGTTATTTATAGAGAGGAATAGTTTGATCTCAGCCTGCTCTTCTGGTTTTGCTTTCTTATTCAGGATGCCTGATTGGGGGCTGGATGCTTTCATCCTTCCAGGACTGAAATCTTCAAAGTGGGCTGTGTAAACCAGGTGCCCATACAGCCGCATCATCTGCCCCTGGCCTCTTTTTCTTTATACAGCTCTTT